AGCCCTCTGTTCAAGAGTATGTGAGAGCAAGTCATTACTGACTTTCACATCGACAGGTCGAGTGTTGGCAAGACACCCGCTAAGAGGCGAAGGAATTGCCATACCCAACTCCACGATATCTGTTCATTTTACTCCACATACTCTAGCAAGATCGAGTATTTGTTTTCTGTAGCCTCAGTTTTTGGGCACGATATGTAGTAAATTATAATTAATGTATTCAGTATTCAGTATTCAGTATTCAGTATTCAGTATTCAGTATTCAGTATACAGTATACAGTATTCAGTATTCAGTATTCAGTAAATTTGATTAATTATCCTACGAAAAAATGTCTATTGACTTGTTAATTTAAATCAAGTACGGAGTTAAACTGGGCTAGATATAGGGTAGAGTTCACATGTTCTGTAAATCATAGCTGGTGGATCACATCACTAATTATACGTCACATCACTAATTATACGTCATATGATCTGACCCCTAATAATGGAGGGCCCCCCTTTGTCGTGCAGCCATCTAGATCTATACCTTTAGAAATTCGATTAAATTTCATGATTCTGAAATCACGGAGTCTCTATTCCTTATATCACAGGAGTTATCGTTATTTTAGTGCCAAGGAGTCAAAAGTCACACAATTAGAAATGCAAGATGAATCAACACTAGATAATCTGAAAAGTACTACTTCACAGTCAAGTAAGAGTACAGTCAACCACTGTGTGTGGGGAAGCGACGTAATAACGGACATTGGCTCCAAGCTCTGGAACGATATTCTTATTGATAGAAATATCATCTATCTTTCTGATTTCGTTTCAGAGGAAGGTAACCTCTTAAGTTTTCAGCAATTTCTGAGAAAGTGGGGCCAAACAAGTAGTACAATCTCTTCGACTCAATATGCGAGTATAAAATTGGGAATACGTCGATTTAATAATACCGATACGTTTACAAGTAACATTACATTTATCGATACCCAACTTTCACTTCGCTTTTGGGGAGGTAGGAATACTCCCAACTCTAGAGATACTCCTCTCACTATCAAAGGTAGAAACATTAGAGATACCATGTCTAAGCGTTTAGATCCCAGCACCCTTCCTCCAATGAGGAACTGGAGTGCTAACCTCTCCTTAACGGATATTGATTGGATTAGTATTTTTACGGATATTTTTACTTCTTTCTCAAATAACTTCAAACTTATTCAGTACCAATATAAGCTCCTTCACCGGATTAGTACTTGTCGGTACATGAGATATAAAATGAAGATTGAAAAAGATAGTCCAAATTGCTCGTTATGTAATCACAACCTCGAAACTATCTCTCACATATTTATTGACTGTCCAGCCACAAGCTCTTTCCTACAGGGAGTAAATCTGTTTATTAGATCGAATATTGACGCAAATTATGACGACCCATATCGCCACTATTTGATTTGCTTAAATCACAGAGATAAAAGTGTTAACTTCATAAATTCGGTTTGCTGTTGGTTTATTGGAAGGAGTTTCCAGAACAAGGAACCCCTATTCTGGGAGCGATATCTTAAACATCTTAAGCTTTTCTTATTAGGTGAAAAATCGGATATTATACGGTGCCTTAAAGACGTTACACCTTGATGACCATTTTATACCCAAAGTTCTGGATCCACTATACACTCTTGTTTATTTATTTTCTCGAAATTACAGCCGTGCCTTACCTTTACCCTTTATTTCACAAGTTGTAGCCAGTGGAGTTATCTCCACTACTAGTATTGATATAGAGTCACATTTAAAACCAGTAATATCTCTCCTTTTTCTCTCCATCTTATGTGCAATTTATTACTCTATATCCACTGACTTTATTCGACGTATTATCTAAAAGAATTTAAAAAAATTGTGTGCGTGTGTTTTTATATTTATTTTGCTACGGCGCATGTGAAACCCCAGGGCATCCAGCACCGGAGAAGCTGAAATGACACTCTCTGAACCCTTGGTGCCGCTCAGATTTTGCCTCTTGGCTGGTAAGCCGAGTCATGATCGATTAACTCAGCTTCTTCGGTACAACACAGACCGGAGGGTACTATTAGCCGCTTTGCCGGTGGTATCCTCCTGGTGTCCTGGGGTTTGGCAGGTTCCTCATTTAAAAATTAAAAAAAAAAAAAAAAAAAAAAAAATCATAGCTGGTGGATCACATCACTAATTATACGTCACATCACTAATTATACGTCATATGATCTGACCCCTAATAATGGAGGGCCCCCCTTTGTCGTGCAGCCATCTAGATCTATACCTTTAGAAATTCGATTAAATTTCATGATTCTGAAATCACGGAGTCTCTATTCCTTTAAATATCACAGGAGTTATCGTTATTTTAGTGCCAAGGAGTCAAAAGTCACACAATTAGAAATGCAAGATGAATCAACACTAGATAATCTGAAAAGTACTATTCACAAAGACACCAAAATTGATATGGTGGCTATAATGCATGCAAGGAATGGAATGTCTTATCTGAAATTGTTATTGGTGCTAAAATGAGTCAATAATCACAACTTAAACGTTGGAAATAAGCCTATTTTTAGCAGTGATTATTGAATCATCTAACGTTTTTATTGGCTATCTATCATTTATTAGGGTACAAAATAGTATTAAATAGTATTAAAAATAAATAATAATAATAAAATTTGGTAGCTTAAACACAAACTCTAAGCCCAGTGGATAAACCACAAAACTTATGCTCTATTGTGTGAAACAAAGATACTAGATCAAGATAACCAGTTAATATGATTCAAAAGTCACATTTTCGTTATTACACTATAGTAAGGCTTAAATTAAGTGCACGATATGACAATTTATAATCATTCTATGATTCCTATTATGTGATTTTTGAATCCATGTCTAAGCTTATACCATATTGAAGGCATTTGAGCGATAATTTTTGATCTGGGTGCTTAAATGATTCAAAAATCACATAAATCTAGCTACCGAATTATATGTAATTTTCTTTAAAGTGTGACAATTGAATCATATGTAATGTTCAAGTTGTAATGACACTTTGAAAGGAAAGGTAATGAATCGATAATCACATTTCAAAAATTCAATTAAGTATTATACGTTACTGATTGATTCATTTGTCACATTATGGAGACAAAATTATCATGGCTTGAGTAGTAAAAGTACTTGCCTTGTTTATTCAGTTTAAAATCAGTGTTTTGTGATTATTGATTCCACTAGGGGGGGTACCAATGGCATAAATGGCATAATGGAGAATTGGCCAATAAAAATTTCCATTTATGCCATAAAACGTATGCCATTTATGCCATTTTATGACATTCTATGCCATTGGTACCCTCCCCCGTTTGATATAATACATTTCTATTTTCTTTATTTGTCATATGAATCTTTAACGATCATTCCAAGCGTTATAAAGCATGAAACATGTCTCTTATTCAAGTACTAATAATAATTTGCGAATTTAAAGTCATCCTAAAGGTCAAATATGAAGACCTAAATTCATGGCATAAATGGAGAATTGGCCAATAAAAATTTCCATTTATGCCATAAAACGTATGCCATTTATGCCATTTTATGCCATTGGTACCCCCCCTTCCACTATTACTCCAATAACGAACTTCTCCATGACCATAAACAAGTGTCACGACAGATTACTGCAGATTTACTATAGATACCAACCTGATATAGAGCCAAAAAGTGATACATTCCCCTGATATAACATCATTTCAATACATGCTCATCTACGTGATTTTTGAATCATTATGGCACTTTTAACCATCTAAATTCTCTAAATATTAGATAGCATGCTATAATTGTGATCTATAGAGTTCATTGTTACAATCATTCCGTTGAAATTCATATCACATTCATCATTCTAAAATAATTAGTCAGAATTAACCCTGTGTGTGATAATTGCATCGTAACTCCACATTTAACCGGTGACTCTTCGCACTTTTAACACTCAACTATCTCAAAAAGGTTCAATAATCACATTGAGAAGCAGGACACACTCACAGAATGTAAATTCATCATTAGAGGTGCAAGAAATGAATATTTTGTGATTTCTGGCTCATATCTGCACAATTAACAGATATAGAGAAATGAATGACTTAATTATGTGACATTTGAATCTTTTTGGACCACATATTAAAATTTTGTTAAATTTCATAGCATACTCCTTGAGATACAAGTATTTTAAAATGCTTCACACAATTTTGGCAGTGAAAAATCAATCTCTAGTGCCACCTTTTTATGAACGTGTCCATATAAGTAGGGGGGGAGCCAAGTGGATATTTGTAGATATTTGTAGATTAATGTAGAATGGATAATCCACGAAAAAAGTGGATGACATTCTACAAATTTATACATTTATCTCCAAAAATTCAGTAGAATTTCTGGGCACATATTTGAGATTAAATTTTTTGTAGATAAATGTAGATATTTGTAGATTATTGTCAATGGATAATTCACGAAAATTCTACAAATTCTACAAATTTATCTCCAAAAATTCAGTAGAATTTCTGGGCACATATTTGAGATATACATTTTTTGTAGATAAATGTAGATATTTGTAGATTATTGTAATGGATAATTCACGAAAAAAGTGGATGACATTATCCAAATATCTACAAATATCCACTTGGCTCCCCCCCCCCCCCCCCCCCAAGTAGTTACCAGTTCCACTAAAGGGCCATCTACTTAGGACGTCCGCCAAAATCGCAGATTTTCAGATCACCCCCCCCCCCCCCCCCCCCCCCCCCCGGACGTCCGGATTTCCAGCTACTTTTAAGAGTACAAATAAAATCAACTCAAATTCATTGTTAATAATATTCAAAGAGTTGAAATAGAATTCAAAGGGTTGAAATAAATCCAGGACTTTTTCGTTAATTCTGCCAAAATTTCCGGACGTCCGGATTTTCAGAAACCCCCCCTCCCCCTATCCGGATTTGTCCGAAATTCCAAAACCATCCCCTCCCTATTTGCCGGACGTCCTTAGTAGATGGCCCCTAAGTAACTCGCTCTCTAACCTGCGAACTTGCGAATCCCAGGTGTGATAGGAATACCAGGTACTGTTAGAACTGTTGAACCGTTAAGCTGGCAGAGGAAGTCTCGCAGTCTCAAGTGTCGTCTCCACAACTTCTGTTTGTCATGTTCATACTCATCCTCGTGTTCCTTCAGCGACTGTAATTAATTATCTCATTAATTACCTAATAATTATCCTAATTATCATAGACAATGTCTTATCAGCAAATGTTACAGGCGAATCAAATACCCGCGACTTTCAGACGAGACTAATTTTACCCCTGCTCCTTTAAATGTTTAAAACGTTTTACAGACATAATGTCTCCCTGATTAGATCAACCCAACAGACCCTTGCACAGATACGGAATAGAGAGTTTTGGTAAAGAATGAATTGCTAAGTTTACCAGTTTACAGTTATCATTAAAGCTAGATTTTTTGTAGAGTTTTAAGGACAAAATTCGAAATTGTTGTATTTTTCCAGTTAGGATCATAATTTCTTAATTATGCGAACCAAATCTTGATTTACAACGTCTGTCTGGGAGTAATTTTCCCCTCTCAAAAGTTATTATATCCATAATAAGTATAACGAGGTTCATAATACATGTAAATGGATCCCTGATTTACTGTGAATTTCAGGTTAATGAGGCGCCAAGAGCTCTCTAGATAACATGTTTAGATCCGAACAAATTGGGGCAAGACTGAGGGAGAAGAATATTTTGCATTTTTTAGTTCTCTAAAGTTGATCCTGGGTAATGGTAATATAATGGTAATGTTAAATAACATACTGTAACTAAAGTGAGAATTGAGACTCCATTTATTGTTCACGTGCTTTAAAGAATCCCCGATTGACTGCGAATTGGGATCAACCGCGGATATTTATTTTTTCCAAACTCCGCGGTAAATTGGGGTTTCACTGTATTAAATTATGCTAATAAAAGGTTATTTTTAAACTCAAAAAGCTGAGACATACATGGACAATAAACTAACCTCAATGTATGCGCGTGCGTTCTGCAGCAAAGTAAGCGTGGTCAGCTTGCGTCTGTTGGGACCCGAGGGTATCACGTCTCGGAGGTTGTTCATGTAAACACGGAGCTGTGCGCGGCGGTTCTTCTCCATCTGGTTGTGAATGGAGCGTGTGTGCCAAGTCTCTCCTCCTGACTGGGAGCTGGATCCCCTGTGGAGGAGGCGTGAGGAGGGGGTGTGGAAGGGGGATGGGCTGTAACAACTTGTATTTTATGGTGATACAGGCAGTGTTACACACAGTGATACAGGCAGTGTTACAGGCAGTGTTACAGGCAGTGTTACAGGCAGTGTTACAGGCAGTGATACAGGCAGTGTTACAGGCAGTGTTACAGGCAGTGTTACAGGCAGTCATACAGGCAGTGTTACAGGCAGTGTTACAGGCAGTGATACAGGCAGTGTTACAGGCAGTGATACAGGCAGTGATACAGGCAGTGTTACAGGCAGTGTTACAGGCAGTGTTACAGGCAGTGTTACAGGCAGTGTTACAAGAAGTGTTATAACTAAGTTGCTTTTTAAAGCATATTCAATATTCATGCTATGTGCAGAGTGATAATCTTGTTGTTGAATCGTCCAAAGTGGACATCTGACACAAAGAATAGTGTACAATATAGTGCGACCAGATGTACGGTGTTTATTAATGCTTGAGTGTAGCTTAATAGTTAAAAATAGGCGAAGAAAGGTGTAAATGAGTATCAGCAGCTTTATTTTTCACAAAATTTAATGTGCCAGAATATTTTATTCAGTCAGTTTACATAGTGAGCAGATAGAACTGGTGGATCGAAGAACGACAGGCTAAATGATAATAAGAAGTGTGAGCATGCTTACCCCAATACAACAACTTTTATTTGTTACAAACTTCAAAGTTTCAACATCCGACTTAAAAGCAGTACGAATAAAAGCTCGCGGCATAAGATATTTAAACTATTAAGATTACACTGTCTTCCTATTGTGTGATCAAAGAATAAATTTCCACACATTTTTCTCAACCTCCAACTTTAAATAGTATTTCATCCAGTTTTCTGTTAATATATTAAAAGATTGGAATTCAGGAAATTTTAGCGAAAAGATTAAAAGTATTCAGCAATTTTGCCGTTGTTTTGCAACAAGTTGCCCTATACCGTGCTTATTAATTAAACATCAACTGTCAAGCGCCATAAATCAGCAAAAAATTAATGCGAACATAGAAGCAAATCATCTTGTAAAATTAGAATCAACAGATCAGCAGAAAAAACAGCACCCAAGGATTAACACATGACATAAGAATTACGAGAATGCTCCAACATTCTTTACCTAGAGCCTCGAGGATGTTCATTTTCGACTTCAAATGTGTACAACTCTTTGCTTGAAGGTGTCGACCTGGTGTTATATAATAATAATCTTAGCACAGTGTTGAATACGATTGGGAAATTGCACCGTTTTCTTCAGTGTAGCTGATAAAGTTTAATGACAATTTCAGCGTTTCCTATCGACCAGAGGACCCAAAAGATCCGACATTTCAACTGTAGCTGAGTCTTTCAGAAAAACTGGTGATACGAACCGAATTTTTAAAAAAATCATTGTGATTCAATACAAAACAGAATCGAGATTGTCCTATCATAACGTGAAAGACGGTTTGTTTTTTCAGTTTAACTTTTCAACTAGAAAATTGAGATTATAAATTATTACGCACGCATTATACATACTTATTAAACTTGTCCTCAGACGCGTCTGGATTATTGTTCATGTTGGATGTTTCATTTGAATCAGATAATCTGGACCTTTTCAGAAGGTGGTAATTTCCCGTCATGGTCATTTTGGGTTGCGGTCTACGTCGCTGATTATTGTTTATTGGACTGAAAATAGTTCCGTGTGTAAAGCTAGCCAGGATCTATGGGAACAAGACAATTAATCTACGGATGTTTCAGATAAGATCATAAGATGTTAATTTTTTATGATATGAAGATTTTCATGGTGCCGATGCGATGGTTCAAGTTGTTGGAATATAACTCGGTCAGACCTAGGTTTCCAATTCCCATGTTTTTGCACAATATAATTACTTTTTTACAAGTTGTTTACTGACTTACGTGCAGGTGGTCAGAAACTTTTGCATTGAATTGATAATTAACTTTTTATTCGACTTGATGATTATTAATTATATTTTAAAATCCCGTATCAATTTTATAAATTACAGCGCAAACAAATTAAAACTTGTCCAAAATTTTAAAATACACCTTCAATTACCTGGACGATCTGTTAATAGCTTCCTCGGAGATAGGAGGATTACTCGGTCCAGCACTCTCACCTTCAACCGACCTATAAATATCACCATCACCGTGGTGATATAATTCTAGAAACTATTTTAAATGCCCTATTAATCGACTTAAAGCAGATATAAAGATACATTACCCAAATTGCAAAGAATAATGCATAAATAACATGAACAAAATAAGAAAATGGTACGTTTAAGATATTACACTATGCACCCAATGAGCAGTTAAAACAAAAATTGTTTCCTATAAAAGAGAAAAAAAAAGAAGAAGTGCAGAAATTATGTACATAAAATAAAGATAACAGAAGGAAAGTCATGGAATGTGAGGTAAAACTTACCGGTCACGGTAGTGGGTGTGGTGGACACCCTCTCTCTGAAGTGAATAGGTGTCATCATCTGATCCCTCATGGTTGCTCTTATTATTATTGAAGTTCTTGTCATACTCGTGCATAGACGTCAAAATTGATGCTGAAAATGTTCTGTTAGATGTTTCTCAAAGGTAGTATGTATTTTTTTTAACCAAAGCATGTGCACTTTCACTCGAGATTGCAGTGGTTTCATTTAAGTCACAATTAATTCTTAGGGGTCATTTTAATTTTCAGGAGGAACTTTTTAATTCAATCAATAATTAGAGGACGGCAAACACAACGGTGATGTTTAATAAAAACTTAAGGGGGCCGGGGGGTCTTCATCGATTTTCATGGCGCGATTGAAAATCGCTCGCGCAATACAATTACACATAAGCGCTGACCTTTGGCCAGTGATAATTTCGGATAGGAGCAAAATTTTTCAATGGGACCAAAAGCAGCTGATAGATATCACTCCCCTCTTAGATCAGAAACAACTATAAAATCAATTTCGAGAAAATTTTGATGAAGACCCCCCCCCCCCCCCCGGCCGCGGCCCCTTTAAGTAATAAGCTGTTTTTGAGGCTTTGCCCATCAATGCCCATTTGAACAGAAGTTGGTGGAAAAATGAGCATGGTGTGCACCCCACCCTCCCCCCCAACATTTTATATTTACAACGCTTAATATTTTGATAATGATATTAGGAAAATAGTGGCACTTACCAACTTTCTGTTTTTCAAGAACATCAGCGGCTTCCAATAACACATCAAGACTCATATTTGAACAATTTCCAGCTACCTAATAGTATTAATAAAATAAAGCATAATCCTTGTATTATTTGACAGTATGAATGAGATACATGTCAAGAAAACATGAAAACATGATCCAAATTGTAATAAAAGGGAGTCTTAAATCCTCAATTTAGATTCTTCCTGTGTTGTTCACCAGGCAGCGCAACCAAACCCTCTATGACAATTCGTTTGCAATTATCGGACTTTGATTGTGGAACTTAATTACACCAAACCTGCATACTATCGAAGATCCCCTGCACTTTAAAGAAATGCTTATGACGTTTGTTAAATTATTCTTGGATGAGCCTCTGGTGGCAGAAACTCGTTATTAGATTGGAGTGGAATTAAGGCAGTGACCTCGCAGTCCAGGTGGTCAGCAACTCTGGTGGTCAGCAATTCTGATGACCCAATAGATTATATGAAGCACAAAGTAAGTAAATTGAACTATCAAAAGTGATTTTTACCTATGCATACTGGGTCTTGGGGGCATTGCGTGATAAATTGATATATTTCCATCTGTAGCATGTGAAATTCCCAACTATGCCTACTACTAGCCCCATTTAGTATCTTAAACAATAATCTCAGAATGTGTGTTTTCTGTGTGTTTTTTGTGTGCACGTGCGTCAGTGGCGTAACGTTACTTTGTGCCGCCCCCCTGCTGATTGAAATTTGCCGCCCCTTTTCCGCCCCTAAAATTTTGTGTCCCTAAAAAAAAAAAAAAATAAGGTTGGGTACTTTTTTTGCCGCCCACTACACCTTTTTGCTGCCCCCTAAAGCAACAATGGTACCCCAAATATTTTTTTCACGTCGACCGAACGCTAAATTCGACAGGGTAGTACACCAATAAGGCGCTTTTTCCGTGAAATCAGACCTACAATCCAGGAAAATGCCGCCCCCCTAATGTGCCGCCCCCTGCTAGCAGGGTTAGCAGGATCGGTTGTTACGCCACTGACGTGCGTGTGTAATTTAAGAGTAACGGGGCTTATTTTTTCGATACTATCAGTAGGCAGACTATGCTCAACCTCCTAGACGACGCAGGGTGCACAAGAGATGAGATCAGACTAGTGAGATTCCTCCTGAGCAACACCAAGATCAAGGTGCGAGTCAACGACGCTACCTCCCTTGTATTCATCAGCACCAATGGAGGACCCCAAGGTGATAGTGTTTCAGGCCTCTGTTTCACAATCACTCTAGCTGGTGCCTGCTACCACCTGCGTGCCGTGACGCTGCGACCAACCCCCCCCCTATAAGCCCTAGCGGCATGCCTGAAGAAGATGCCTACTCTGATGACATCGACTATCTTGGTGAAGAGAAAGATGCTCTAGAAGCCCTCCTCCCTATCGCTACTAAGGTGTTCAAAGAGTGGAATCTTAATATTAATGAATCAAAGACAGAGTTTGTACACATCTACATAGCTGGGAAAGATGAGGTCATGGATGATGGTAAACCCCTTAGAATGAATGAAGAATGGTGCAGTAGCAAGTTGTTGGGTTCTCTGCTAGAAAGTAGGAAAGATGTCACCAGAAGAATCATGTTAGCCAATGTAGCATTCCAGAACTTCAAGAAGGTCTGGTGCCAGAGTAAGATCCCCCTACAGAAGAAGCTGAAGGTCTATGAGGCCCAAGTAGTATCTATCCTCATGTATAACTCTAGTTGCTGGGGAATGCCTAAATCGTACTGGGACAAACTAGATGCATGTCACCGTAACCACCTCAGAAAGATCATGAATGTCAGCTGGCCACGCAGTATGATGTCCAAAGATACCCTCTACAAACAGAGTAACTCTACCCCTATGTCTGAGCGTGCTGAGTTATCTAGGTGGAAGATGCTAGGACACATACTGAGGAGCGATGAAAGATCACCAGCTCAAGCTGCGCTGTGTTTTGCTGTCGAGATGTGTAGTGAAGTTGGTAGACTCGGGGCTCACAGACGTAACCTCCTACACCACCTGAAGGTTGACCTCTGGAAGCGTTTCATCTTGCTGGAGTCGTATGATGATATTCTCCATTTGAGAGAACTTGCTAGTGACCGTGGTTATTGGAGTAAATTGTTTAACTTTATACTTGAGTACAAGTCAATTTGACTATTGGGACATATAATTTTACAAAGGATCACGTTTCGGTTCTAAATTATTTTAGGATTGTTGACATTTGTAAGATTGACATGTTTGATAATAATTTTTTCGGTATAGTGCCAACAAAAATATGAGGAAGCCAAATGGTAAAGGTTTTTAATCAGTCGGTGGTAAGTGGTTTTATTGATAGTTTTGTACCACAAATGTTACATAAAATGGCTCACATTTTCTCCCTCCTCGCTCGCTCTCCAATTACTGCATATTATGTAGATTGCTCCAAGTTCAAAATCAAAGATGTAATAATAATTGGTGACTTCAACAGTAGGCACATCTCCTGGGGAGATATCATCACAACCGACCGTGGAAGACAGCTGGATTCATTCATCGCTCAGCATAATCTGACATGCATCACTCCGAACACCAATACATTCGTCTCCCATAATGGTGGGAGTATCATTGACCTTGCTTTGTTGAAGGGTAAAGTATGTAGGCTATACCAATCGTCCAGCATTGACAGTGAAAGTGAACTCTTCACAGGTGCTCCAAATAGAGGTCACTTACCAATCATCCACCAATTCTGTCATGCACAAACTGCTCAATCTGCATCTCCTCTTCTTTACTGGGACATTGATAAAACAGACTGGAATGCTTGGTGTGGATCACTTAACAGGGCTCTTCTCCTTGGCATAACTGGCAGGATCAACTCTTACATAGACCCTCTAAAGCTGTGGCAAGACTTTAAAAACATTTTATCTGCGATTGGTAATGAATGGATTCCTCTCAAGAAAGTCAGTACCCACTCAAAACCTTTCTGGAACTCTCTCCTTACAGACCTTTCACGAACTCTTCAAGCTGAGCAGGAAACCATGAAAACCAGCTACACACCGTATAACGTCTCCCTCCACAAACAAGCAAAGGAGGAGTTTTCTAATACCTTGATATCCGAAAAAAACAAATGGATTCATCAGCAACTGGAAAATCTCAATGTTGCTCAGTCTCAAATATTCTGGAAAAATTATAAGAAGACATTGACCAATAAGCCTAACGAGTACATGGGAAATCTTATGGATGGTGGTATCCTCCACTCTGACAGAACTCAGAAAGAAAACATCTTGTACAAATCATTCTTCTCGGGTGAACACATGAATGGATGCAGTTTTGATCATGTCTTCGAACAAGAAATCAATAGCTGCTATGACAACATTATATCGACTCAGTTCCCTACCGACCAATTAGATCCAATCATTAATGATCATCTGAATGGGAAAATAGGTCTAGAGGAAGTTACTTTAGCACTGAAGGCTCAAAATAGCAATGCCAAAAGTTTTGACACTGATAATCTTCACCCAAAAATCCTGAAACATCTGCCTGTGTCAGCTCTTCAGATTCTAACAAAACTATATGACCTTGTCCTTGAGACTGGTGTATGGGTCTGGGAGGTATCCAATGTCACTTTCATCAAAAAGGATGGAAAGGATAACTACATGAACCCCTCTGCTTATAGACCAATATCGATATCATCATATGTTGGAAAGCTGCTAGAAAAGATCTTGGAACGAAGAATAAAGCTCCATTGCGAACTAGAGGGCTTACTCGACGAAGAGCAAGAAGGCTTTAGACCTCAAAGAAATACTGCAAGGTATCTTTATAAATTAGTAGCTACTCTAGATGAATGCAAGAGGAAAAAACTCACTACTTTCCTACTATGCATCGATTTTAGCAAAGCATTTGATAGTGTATGGGTGAAAGGCCTGATTTTCAAGCTCAGCAAATACCAAATACAAGGGAACATTTTGCGGATAATAAATAACTTCCTGTTATCCCGCAAAGTACGGCTGAGGGTTAACAACAGTCTCGGATTTCAACGCTCATGTGGATGGTTTGGGCTTCCCCAAGGCTCTGTCCTTGCACCCCTGCTATTTATCCTCTACATCTCGGATATGTTATGCAAGGACCAGCTCTCACTGGAATGCAGCTCTAACTCAAGTCTCTTCAAATATGCTGATGATGGAAGCATAGCAGTCTCTCACATAGATCCTATATGTGCTCATCGAATTATGCAGTTGATGTGCAAGTACCTTCATGTCTGGTGCAGTAAGTGGAAACTTATCCCAAACTGCGACAAAAACAAGACCGAGTGTATTATGATCACACCAACATCCTCATCTGCACCTGATGTCACAGCCTTTGGACCACTCATTATCGGCAGTAGACCCATAACATATACATGTCAATCAACTGTTCTTGGACTGAGGATAGACGACAAACTTACGTTCAAGAGTCATGCAAAATTTAAATTGAAACAATGCTGGTTTGCCTGGTACAGGATCACTCAAAACTCCACCCGCCACAGAGGCCTGAATGCAAGCTCACTCAAAATGCTCTTCAAAACAGTAGTACTCACAAAACTTCTATATGCTGCTCCAATATGGCTAAGAGATAACCTAGACACTTTCAAAGACTTCTATGCCAGGGTCCTCTTGAAAATAAGTGGATCCACTCACCATCCTCCCAAAGATTTGACATCTGTCGCGCTTGGAATTCCACCCCTTGAGATATCCTACAAGATGATCACTATAAAATTCATAATAAAAGCACTTACAAGTGACCCATTTATGCAAGGACTCATCTTACAGCTAGAGGAGGCAAAGGCCCATCGATATCAGCACCATATTGATGAGATACGTAAGTTCCTAACGTGGACAAGGGGGTCCAACGAGCTCAACAGAAGCAGAATAGACCTTCTGACTAGTGTCCACAACGGTGTTGTCAGCTATTCAAAAGACGAAATAACCCGCTTTATGGACTTCACTTGGAATAAACATCTCCTACTGAACCCTAGAATAAATCCGGGTGAGATACTGGATAACATCGATGAAAGGAGCAAAAAGTTGTTTCCTCGCTATTCAAGCAGGAGCACAGACACTAAAGTAATGTCTCTCTTGCA